AGATGGAGAGCTGCACTGTATCATTTGCCCGTGAGCAATTCTCACTTGATCGAAGATGCCTACGGCGAATGGCCGCCGCCCGTGCCTTCTAGGATACGCCTACGTGGCCAAACGTTGGGGCAAAGTTTGGCCGCGCTATTGGATCATGCTCTACCCCAGTCGTTGTGGAAGCCCTTCAGGGGACAGGGAGCGTCCTGGGGGCCTCTTGGAGGCCTCTTGGGTGGCCTCTTTGGGCCTCTTGGAAGCCTTTGGGTGCTTCTTCGGGGCCTCGTTGGCCAGCTTACGGTGGTCCTGGCCCGTCTGACGCCGTCGAAAGCCGTTTGGGGAGCCTTTCTGGGCAGTCTTGGTGCCTTCTTGGGGCGCTTCAGGGTCGTCTTGAATGCTACCCTGAGCGTCTTGGAGGCCTCTTGGGCCGTCTTGGGGCCCTTTGGGGGCAATTTTGGGAGCCACTTGTGCCGCCCTAGGGCCATCTTGGAGGCTTCTTCGGCGATCTTGGGCACGCTTGGGGGCCTCTAGGGCAGTCTTGGGCCGTCGGAAGGCCGTTGTGAAGACCATGCCCACATCCGTCAAGCACCCAAGGACAGTCAACGATTTTGGCTTCTTCGGGCCTTCTTGTAGAACCTCTTGGGACGTTTCGGGTGCCTCTTGGGGCATTCTTGGGCCGTCTGTGGCCATCGTGAGGCTATCTTAGTTCGTCTGGGGCACATCTGGGGCCGTTTTGACAACATCTTGGCGCCATCGTGGGCTCTCTTGGGGCCATCTGGGCCTTGTTGGAGGCGTCCTGAGACCATCTTAGGGGCCATCTTGGGTTATCTCGGCCGTCTTCGAGGCCATCTTGAAACCATCTGGGGAGATGCATCTTGAGGAGTTTTCTGGGTGGCCAGCGGGCTGGGCCCAGGCCCACGGCGAATTCTCTTTGAAACGCACCAATAACCTGCCAGACGCTTGGCATGCCGTGCACCCCTGTGGTAAGACCACAGGGGGCGCCGGATCGAAGACGCCTACGACAAATCACCGCCACATACTGCCTTGTGGAAGCGCCTATGTGGCCGAACGTTGCGGTCAGAACGTTGTGGCCAGAGCTCGGAAACGCCATCGGACTGAGGAAAAGGACGAGACGCAGGAATAAGGAAGCGAAGGAGGAATATGCTTCTTGAGAGCTTTTGGGGCACTCTTTGGGCCTCCTGGACGCTTCCTGGAGGCCTCTTGGAGGCCTCCTTGGGCCTCTTGGGGGGTGGCGTTGGGCATTCCTGGCTTGTTGGAAGCCGTCTTGGAGGCCTCTCTGGGTAGACTTGGGGCCCTCTGGGGGCGCTCCAGGGCAGTCTTGGAGGTCTCCTGGGCCGTCTTGGAGCCTCTTGGGCCGTCATGGGGCTATCTTGGAGGCCTCTTCGGCGCTCTTGAGGCCATCCTGGGAGCCTCTTTCGCAGTCCTGGCTTGAAACACCGATTGGAAATTAATACTTTGGGCATCTTCGGGTCTTCCGGGAGGTCCTCTTGAAGGCCTTTTGGGCCGTCTCGGGGGCCTCTTGACCAGAGAACGGAGCCAGACAAACATAAATGACCACGGAACTGCGCGCCCAAGTTGCCCGCGCACGCATCGGGAGGATCGTGTCAGCGCTGAGGAGTGGATGTTTCCGACGGGCAGCGGAGCCTCAGCTTGGCGTCCGACTGCCGCTGCCGGTCGGGCGCTTCGTCGCGCCCACTGGCGGTGCGCGGTGGTCCGCCCCAGGGCCTCGGGGCCCAGTCGGCCTGCCCGGCGGGGGGGTCCCTGGTGGCGTTGGGCCTCCTCCCCCCTCGCTCGGGACGTCCTCGCAGTCTTCTTTGCTGCACTACGACCAAAAAAAACTTGAAAGTCGTTGACAAAAAGGTTGAAAAAAGGTTGAACCAACTTTCAACCTTTTCACAAAAAGGATCCCGAGGTGTGGGGGGTTCCGTGGCCCCGAGGGTCTGGGGCGGGGGCGCGGTTTTCTCTGTCACGCATGCCTCCCCCCTCCGTTGTGTGGGCAACCGCCTTGCTTGCGTCGCCGCCCCTCCCCCGGTCCGCCCTCTGCCTATGCCTTCTGGCTGCGCCGCCTTCGGGTTCGTCCGTCTTTCCCATTCTCCGATCTTGGGTCGCCCAGGACACGTCGGGATCTGCCTAGACCCCACTGGGAGCCTGTTGAAGAAAGAGCCACACCAACCACACATTTGGCACGCCGTGGACCCCTGCGGCAAGCCACAGGGGGCGGCGGATCGAAGACGCCTGCAGCGAATCACAGCCTCTGCTTTTTGGAAACTCCCATGCGGCCACACGTTGGGCAGAAGCCTGGCCAAGCTATTGGACTATGTAGTATGTGTTCTCCCTCCGTTGTGAAGCCCTCTGGGGGAACACACTGCGGAGAGGAAGAGTTAGGAGGAGGACGAGGAGGCAGACGAGGAGGAGGCCTCCTGAGGCACTCTTCGGGCCTCCTGGGGGCTTCCTGGGAGCCTCATGGTGGCCTCTCAACGTTGGGAGAGCCTCATGGGGCCTCTTGGGGGGCCTCTCGGGGGCCTCCGAGGGACCTCTTAACCTTCGGAGGCCGTCTTGGGGCCCTCTCTGGGCAGAGGTGGGTCCCTTTCTTGGCGCCTGAGGGCTGTCTTGGAGGTCTCTGGGGCCGTCTTGGGAGCCTCCTGGGCCGTCTTGGGGCCCGCTTAGACAGTCGAGCCTCTTGGACCATCTTGGGGCGATCTTTGGGGCCTACGGGGCCGTCTTGGGGCGTCGGGAGCCGAAAAGGCAAGACCGCTAACATCACTCAAGCACCGAAGGAGCAGCAACGACATGTTTCTCCTGGAGGTCCTCTTGGCGCTCTCTTGGGGCGTCTTCAGGGCCTCCTAGGCCGTCTGGAGGACATCTTGGGCCGTCTTGGGGTCATCTTGGCCGCCCTGGAGGCCTCTTGAGGCCATCTTGGAGGCCATTTGGGCCGTCTTGGAGAAATCTTGGAGGCCATCTTGGCCGTCCTGGAGGCGAATGGGCCAATGAGGCTTGCCTTTTCGGCGGCCTTTCGGGGGACCGGCGGATTGGGCCGAGACCCCACTGAGAGTTCTATAGAAGAAGAACCAAAACACCCAGACATCCAGCACGCCGTGCACCCTTGTGGCAAGCCACAGGGGGCGGCGGATCTGGTGGCCTGCGGCCGATCCCGCTACCATGCCAGGGTCGTGGTTCAGAGTCCTCATGCATATTCAAGCAGTTTTGCTGCGGTTTGGAAGCCTCTTGGGAGTTGTTTTGGAGGCCTCTTGTGGCTAACCTGCCCGTTAGCATTCCTCAAATTCTTCCAGATGGAGGTCATGATAGCGCACTGTTGTAAAGTGATTCCGGGCTGGTCAGACACTCACCGACCAATTTCTTCACGCTAACGCCGTTCAAGCTCCTTGGAATGCAGCCACCTGCATGCACATCTAATTGGTTTTCACCGCCTTTGCAGCAATATCCCACTTGTGATAACGAAACTTTACGTAATGGATCACATCCGAATCAAGAAAAGCAGCCATGCATGCCGTACACCCCGCAAACACCATAACGGACGTCGTATTCGTCGCATTCGGGCAGAGACGATAGAGGGCTTTTAGCCCACATTTACCGCACTCAATCAGTCGATGGGCGTCCTTCACAACAAAGGGCGGGGTAAGGTCGTTCACAAATCGCGTTCCCCACTCCCGTGTCTGAGGCTCAGACTCCACCCCATGAGACAGACCCACCTCAAGTAGACCGAAGGCTCCAGTGAGCTGGCGATCTGCTCCCACCCACTTCACGATTCACATCGTCTTGCGCCCGTCCATATGAACCATGAGGAGCCGATCGGGGAAACATCGTTTCTGGCCTGGTGCCTCCCCTGGGCACTGAAGGAGGATGCCGCGACAACTCGCCAGAACGCTCGCATTTTGATTTCTCGGGAAGAGCTAGCCACTGTGCCGTGGGGAGGCGATCGACAAAAAGAGGCCCCGAACTGAGAAAGCCATCCAACTGTCCAACCTTAAAAGAACAAATGGGAATGGTCCAAGTTTTGCAGCGAAAATCCATCTCCTCCCCCTCCTCCTCAAGTCTGGGAGGCGGGCCCTTCTAGCTGCTATGATGGCTTTGTTGTGGCATATGTCGCCTAAAGCGCTGACGGGAGACTTGCTAGCGTCTCAACGCCACGTCTCGCACACTTGCAGTGTCCTCCTCCTCCTCCTCCTCCTGGGCGCGCCCCCTGCCGCGCGGGTGGAATTGTACGGGGCGCGGCTGGGGGGAGAGCAGGCAGCAGGTCGTTCAGCCGGGCATCTTACAGGGCCCATCACGATCCGATCGATCCGATTTGAAATCGATTCTGGCTGGCCCGATCCGATTCGATTCGGCTGTTCCGACGATCCGATACGGCCCGATGCATGCACGGTGCTGCTGTGCATCTTGGCGCGGCCGATCCGACTCCACTGGCTCTGGGCCGATGCCGACGCGCTCTCATCGTCCGGCGTTGACGCCGACGCCGACGACGACGACGGGGAGCGACGACGATGACGACCACGACTTTCTCTGGTGGTCTACGGAGACCCCCACTGGGTCAAGACGGGCCAGATGCGTCCAAGATGCGTTCAGAAGTCTCGACCCCTTCCTACCAGTTTTTTTTGTATCCTCCCAGGGGTAACGCGTGTTACCCCCCCTGGCCCCCCCCCGTAACGGTAACGCCTGGAAGCCGGCCACAGGTGTGAGTATTTGCAGTTTCCATGGACCTTGTGGGAACCCCCATGCTCCATGCTGTTCCCACGGATTCCAAAGATGATTATGTAGAGCCATCTATTGAAATTCGAGGAGGGGGAGGATGGGGAGGAGAAGGAGGAGGAGGAGGAGGAGGAGGAGGAGGAGGAAGAGCAGGAGGAGGAGGAGAAGGAGGAGGAGAGGGAGAAGGAGGAGGAGGAGGAGGAGGAGGAGGAGGAGGAGAAGGAGGAGGAGGAGGAGGCACGATCGCCGAGCCTCGAGCGTGGAGCACCCCGCGGCATGGGGGCGAGGCTGCCGACGCCCCCGCCGCCGCCGCCGCCCGGGCCGGAGCTGGAGCTCCCTGCGGCGCGGCTGCCCCGGCGGGCCCTGAGCCAGTCTGGGGCGGATCGGGGGACGTGAATGGATCCCAGGGGAGAATCCGGGACCACCGCCACCGAGATCCCATGAAATGTTCTTTTACCCTTTGGGGCGCGCGTCATGCCCCCTCCCCTTTCCCCCCCCGCATACCAATCGCTGCCCCACCGCCACGGGGGACGCCAGCTGATCTCAGAGGAGAAGCCTGGACCACCGCCGCCGAGATCCTATGAGAGTATGTTAGTTTTCACTCTCTGGGCCATACTGCGCGTTGTGCCCCCCACCCCCTCCCCACCCCATACCCAAACGCTGCCTTACCCACAGAGCGTCCCTGGCACTGCCGCCGGCTGCCGCAGATCGTGCAGCCACCGCAGTCTGTGGTGCCCCCCCGCCCCTCCCCCCCTCCCCCCCCCCCAGCGCCCGTCATCGCCGTGAATCAACTAATGCTCTCAAGCAGGGACCACCGCCACCGAGAACCCATCACGGGGGGGCCGACCCCTGTGAGATGACACGCCTGGGACCCGTCCTGTACCTGTACTGGGTGCCGCTCGGACCTGCCACCGCCCAGGGGTCGGCCCCCCCGTGATGGGTTCTCGGTGGCGGTGGTGCCTGTTTCTCATCTGATGATCGCCATGCCCCCATCTCCTCTCGTCGCGAGAAACAGCGGCGGACGGTTGCTTCTGGGGGCCCTCACCGGGCCCACCAAAGAATTGTTCGGGATGAAGCTCTGGTTTCGCGGGGAAGGAGTTCAGATGTTCGACGATGCTCCTCGACGTTGGCCTATGGGGGCTGTCGTCGGGCCCAGGGGCCATCAACGGATCCTGGGCGGCGAGAGTCTGCCCCCAGGGACGGGTTGGGATCTCTGTGGGCGCGGATTGACAGACTAACCACCTCACCGACCTTGACCCGCCCGATCCTGGGCCCAGGAGCGGTGCACCTGCCTGCTTGGCCCAGGCAGGAGGGCGTGTATGATCCAGGGTTGCCCCCCCCCCCCCCCCCCCCCCACACCCGAAATGCATACGGAATCGAGCCCCCCCCCCGCTGGATGGGTAAGCCCATGAGCCTCGCGAAGGCCTCGCGAATGGGATCGGATCGCCTCCTCCCCCTGCCCTAGGGTCGTGGCCCTGTGGACGTGGCGTGGTGGAGGGTGGACGTTCTGCTGCTTTCGCCGAGAGCTTTTCGAGACCATGGTCACAGGGCCTCGCGAATGGGATCGCTCCCCCTGGCCCCCCCCGTCGTGGACCTAACGGCATGGAGTGGTGAGTGAAGGGTGGGCGCCGTCGTCGTCGTCGTCGTCGTCGTCGTCGTCACCGCCGCCGCTGCCGCCGTCGTCGTCTTTGTCGTCTTTGTCGTCTTTGTTGTCTTTGTCGTCTTTGTCGTCTTTGTCGTCGGCGTCGGCGTCGGCGTCGGCGTCGTCTTCCCCCCACCCATCCCATCGGGGGGGGGCGGGGGGGGAGCCTGTGGAACCCTGCGGCCCATCCCATCTGGAGGGGGGCCTGTGAACCTTCGACCAGGGATCCCGGATACCTCGATCCCGGGCCCAAGAGGGGCACGGCCGGGATCTGTGAGGTGGTCAGTTCAGTTGACGTCCCCCCAGGTAGACCTCGTGGACCGCATCGAGCAGTGCTCTGGCGGGAGACGCCCATGGGGGGGCACCCTTCTCCTCGCCGCCTCGCCGCCGTCGTCATTCTTGTCCTCTTCCTCCCCCGTCGTCGGGGCCGCCGCGCTCGAGACGCCCCGGCACAGGCAGAAACTTCCGGAGGTCCGCGCGGGTTGCTTGGATCGCCGCCTCTGGCGCGCTGCTCCGCGGGCCCCGAGAGAGGGGTTCAGCGCCGATCCAAGAAACCCGCTCGGACCTCCATCAGTTCACAGTGGAGGCCCATGCCAAGAAACACCCTGCTTGCCTCCAGGGTGCCATGGGTTTCTTGGGTTTCGATGGTTTTGCTATGGAAGGCGCGACGTTCCCACACCAAATATCCATGGACGTCCGACGTCCTGGGGTCTCCGGGTTTGGTTTCTGGTGGAATGTTTCTTGCGGATTGGCTTCCACTCTATGCGGTTTCTTGCGGATTGGCTTCCTATCTGCTGGGGGGTTGTCATGCTGCTCGTTGCATCGCCTTCGCGTCGTCGCCGTTGCCGTCGTCGTCCTCGTCCTCTTCATATTCCTCCTCGCTGCTCGCCGTCTGGGGGTGATTATGCCTTCGCAATTGTTTACTGTATAACCTTGTCACGATCTCCCCGATATTGCTTGCTTGTGCGTTCGTTCCGCGCTGCTCCCTCCTGCACCTCTTCCCTTCTCTTCGTTCGTCCTCCTACCAGCCCGCATCATCCCTATTGGTGCTCCTCGTCGTCGTTGCGTCGCCGTCGACCTCCTCTTCTCCTCGTCATCCTCCTTCTCCTCCTCGTCGTCCTCCTCCTCCTCTTCCCTCCTCCTCCCCCCTCCGCGGGCACTGGTAAGAATGTGAGGGGCGAGTATCGTGTGAAGACCACGCGGGCAAGACGAGGTCGAACGTACCTTTATATACCGATACACGCACACACATGTTTTACATATGTATATATGTAGACCTAAATCAGCACATTAATTACAAGATTGCAGGGACGCTTCGCGCCCTGCACCTTGGCCATTAGTGTGTCGCATGCAGGCGGAAGGAGAGAGAGAGAGAGAGAGATAGAGGATCAAACACATAATGGTGAACATTATTCGCATATATCATGATGTTCGTTTTCGTTCTTGTCGTTCCCCAAATGTAATTCCTTCTCCCAGTACTCATATTTTGTATGCCCCTTCTCTTTCTCGCCTGTTCCTGCGGACCCTTCCCTTTCTTCCTTTTCCAATTGCTTCTACGGGGGCCCATCAGTTGGAGTGTCTCTTGGGGGCCTCACGACAGCTTCGCAGGGGGCCTCTGGGGGCCTCCTGGGCGCGATTTGGGAGCCCCCGGAGGCTTGTTGGGACTATCTTTCTGACAATCACGGTCTCCATCAACGACCGCGCCACAGTTTGGAGTACTTTGGGGGTGTCGTGGGGCCACCTTCGGCCGCAATGGAGCTCTCTTCGGGCCGTCTTGGGGCCACCTTCGGCCGCAATGGGGCTCTCTCCGAATTTCTGGATGCCTTCGGGGGGACCGTTTTGATGCGATGTTCCGGGCTCCCCCCGCCTCCTCTTTGCATGCAACACGGGCCGACGGCTTCTCCCCTGCCTCCTCCCCCTTCGCCCCCCCCCGTGCTGCTTCCCTAGTCCCTGCTGGCGTCCCATCCCCTCCCCTCCCCTCCCCTCCCCTCCCTCTCCGCCCTCCTCCCTCCACCCTCTACCTTCACCAGCCCTCGTCCCCCATCCCTTATACAACTACACCGTATGAATACTCTTTTCCTCTCTCCCCCAAAGACGCCGACTGGGCAGCACGCCCCCCTCCGCTCTCTTCATTTTTTTAAACATCGGATTCCCCTTTCTTTGTTCTCGGCCCTTCCAAATCGTACTGCCTCTGCAGCGCTGACCTCATTTCATTGTTTCGGTTCGTCCAGACCGTGCTCCCGCTGCAGCGTGGGCCTCGTTTTCGGATCGGCGCCGTGCTCCAGTCGCTCACAATGGCGCTCTCGCCCCAGCGCGGGCCACTCTTCTGGAGCCGAGTCTTTTGTCATTGTTGTTGCCCTCCCCCATTTCCCTTCCTCCGCCTTCCCCTTGTCCTCCTGTTCCTCCCACTCCTTTCACTCCAGTTCCTGCTGCTGTCGTTCGTCCTCGTCCTTTTCCTCCCGCTCATCCTCTACTCACCCGCCATTTGCTCCTCCTCCTCCTCCTCCTCCTCCTCCTGTGCACGCAGCTCCCCTTTTCCGATTGCGCCGAACACGGTGTGGTCGTTTGGCTGGAGTTGTAGGTCAGCTACAACGCGCGTCCGCGGATAGAGAAAGCATCAGCGCCATGGGAATGAACGAATGGGCGGAGGGGATAGGATGTCAGATGAGGCGCGAGCGCACCTTGCTTGCCTGTCTCCTCTCTCCTCTCCTCTCGCCTCTCTTCTCCAATCCTCGCCTCTCCTCTCCTCTCCTCTCCTCTCCTCTCCTCTCCTCTCCTCTCCTCTCCACTGCACAACTGCACCTTACGAGTGTTCCTTCCCTCTGTCCCAAGATGTCTGGTCCTCTCCGCGTATTCTTTATTCCACTGGATTGGGCAACTGGTGTGTTCGCATGGTTGTTGGCAATCCGATTGTTGTGGGTGTTTCAAAGGTGCTCCCGCTGCAGCGCGGGACTTATTTTCGCATCGGCGCTTTGCCCACGTTGTTCAGAATGGCGCTCGCCCCAGCGCGGGCCACTTATCGGGATCCGGATCCTTTTTCATCATCGTCGCCCTCATCGTTTCCCTTCCTCCGCCTTCCCTTAGTCCTCCTGCCCCTTCCACCCCTTCCATTGAAGTTACTGCCGCTGGTATTCGTCCTCGTCCTCGTCCTCTTCCCTCCTCATTCTACTTTGTTTCCTCCTTTCCTTCTGCCCATCCTCCTGCTTAACCGCCACCTCTTCCTTCTCCTTCTCCTATGTACGCAGCTTCTCTTCCGAGTGCGCATGCCGCGATTTTTGTTTGGTTTCTGTGGGGGGAGTTCCAGGTCGGTGATGACACGCGCCCGCGGATTGAGAAGACACCAGCACAATGGGAATGGATGGGCGGGAGGGATCGGATGTCAGATATGGCGCGAGCGCACCTGGCTTGTTTCTCCGGCCCTAACCTCCCCCCCCCTTTGCCCTCCCCTCCACCTCCACCCCCGCCTCCTCCCCTCCTCCCCTCCCTTTCCTCCTCCTCACTCGCCGCCGCCGCTGCCGCTGCCGCCGCCGCCGCCGCCGCCGCCGCGGCTGCCGCCGCCGCCGACGCCAACGCCGCCGTCGTCGTCGTCGTCGTCGTCGTCGTCGTCGTCGTCGTCGTCGTCGTCGTCGTCGTCGTCGTCGTGCTGCCGTGGCCGCCGCCGTCGTGCTCGCCGCCGCCGCCCAGGAGGCGCCCCGAGCGCGCCTCGTCCGAGAGGCCCCGGCAGCTGTCGCCCCTGCGCCGGGACACGGCCAGCAGCTTCGCCTCGCGCGGCTCCTGGGCGCCCGACGCCGGGCCGCCGTTGGCGCGCCTCGCGGGGGGGGGGGGCATCGGGTCCGCCATCATCATCATCATCATCATCATCATCATCATCATCATCATCATCATCATCATCATCATCATCATCATCATCATCATCATCATCATCATCATCATCGTCATCGTCATCATCATCATCACCATCACCATCACCATCACCATCACCATCATCATCATCATCATCATCATCATCATCACCATCGTCATCGTCATCGTCATCGTCATCATCATCGTCATCGTCATCATCATCATCATCATCATCATCATCATCGTCATCGTCACCGTCATCGTCATCGTCATCACCATCATCATCATCAACAGCATCATCATAACCATAATCATAGTCATCATCATCATCATAATCATAATCAGCATCATCATCATCATCATCGTCATCGTCATCGTCATCGTCATTACCATCTTCAACACCAATAGCCTCAGCATCATCACCATAATCAGCATCGTCAGCATCATCATCATCATCGTTGTCGTCGTCAACGACATCATCGTCATCATCGTCATCATCGTCATCCTTCTCGTCGTCGTCGGTGTCAGCATCATTGTCATTGTCGGAATCGCCATCCTCATCAGCATGATCATGATCATGATCATGATCGTGACCATCATCATGATCATGATGATAAAGACCATCATCATCAGCAACAGCAGCAGCACCAGCAGCAACACCTACAGCATTATCAGCATCATCATCATCATCATCATCACCATCATCACCATCACCAACATCACCATCATCACCATCCTTCCCGTGAGCATCAACATTTGCATCACCATGAACATCATCAGGGGCAAATTTAGGCGGGAAGCTCTGGGGGGCAGAAGCATAGGGAGGGTAGCCTCAGGGGGAGAGGCTCTGGGGGATAGGCTCATTCGATGGTGACGTCGGAGGATTTGGGATTGACCTTGTTTCATGCATGCACTTGCAACACGGGCCACGTGTCGGATGAGATCTTGAAGGGGCAGTTCAGGAGCTCAATCTCTGAGCAGCCTCGGCCGCCCCGCGCCAACCGCTAGTCGGCCCGTCTCCTCACGGAGACGTCTCGCGGGTCCGTCCATGTCCGTCTGTCCAGGGGGTTTCGAGGTTCGAAGTTTATCGGACGTTTTCGTCGGTCCTCGGCGGCTTTCCAGCCTCGGGACTCCTTCCAGCGGCTGCGCCTCGTCGAGAGCGTCCTGGGGGTGCCCAGATAGGCCCGAGATGTGACCCGAACGCTACCAGGGAATGGGCTCAGGGGTGATGCGTCGACCCCCAATCGCCCATTGATCGTCGATAGGGGCCAGATAGTCGAACCCCGCTCAGGAACGCGCGGGGATCGCCATCGGGGGTTCTATCGTCGCATCGGCGACGTATCGCTTATTCCAGGTCGATGCTTCCCCCCTCAGCTGGTTTCGGGGTAACGTTGCCACTCAGTGGGGTCCACCGTGACGGGCGAAACATGATGCAGAGTCCATGATTTAAGCCGCATTCGGACGCCGAGTTCGCTCCCTGTTTTGGAGCGTGCACAATACCTTGACAAAGTGAGGTCTCTACGGCCGCAGGCCATGAACAATCGTACATGGCCTTCAGATGACCAACCCCTTTCCTGGAGTGGCGACGACGTCGAGTGACGACGACGACGACGACGACGACGACAGCGAACGACGACAGCGAACGACGACAGCGAACGACGACGATCAGAGCTGTCACGACGACGTGAGGCGATGGTGAGCGACGACTGACGTCGAAGAGTGACGAAGGCGAGTGACGGGCGACGAGGAGTAACAACGATGACGATGAAAACGCCGCCGCCGCCGCTGTCGTCGTCGTCGTCGTCGCTCGCC